TCTCGCTTGCGAAATCTGTACTGAGGCACATGTGGCTGAAGTTGTTCTGAAAAAGAGAAGCATCGCATCAGAGACCATCTGCAGCTCTATGCTAAGGGAAACAAAACTGAGCCCAGGCTCTCAATTTTGCTACCTCCCTAACAGCTGTGGCTCCTGTCTACAAAGCAGCAAGCTCTCGTGGCCAGCGTTTGAAATTTAAACCAACACAAGATACCTCATTATCCAACTCCGGTTAACCACGCCAGACCAGGAAGAGCTGGCTGGAGGCTCTACCTAATCACTGAAGGAGACAAAAAGGCTCTCTAAACAGATACAAGGATCAGGTAATTTTAATCTCACAAACGAAACCTCTAATTCACCCGTTTCTCATTACTATAGCAGCGAAATCGCAGCAGGGTTGAAATTATTTGCACGCCAACTGATACTAAGGCTATCATACACTAGAGAAATAAAAACCTCCAGCGTCCTGCCCGTGACAGTTATGAATTCTATGTTCAGACCTGGGTAAGTGAATCAACACACGTTCTTCATCCTTTTAAAGCTGTTTTCCTGCAAGAACCACTACCTTCACAGCAAGCAATTATTACAAATCGGCACAGAATCTACCACGTGTTGTTACAGAAATACTGAAGATAACTGAGAAAACCGCTTTTAAAACATACACAGTTATTGAGTACTTACTAGATTGTTTCACTCTTCTGTAAACGACAAACACAACAATCGCTATAAGCAATAATGCGACTGCAGCTCCAATTGCAATTCCGGTCAGCTGTGAGAGGAATTTAGGGGGGAAAGAAATTAGTAACTTCTGAAGTTGAAAAATTAAGTACTTTCTGGAGGGCTGAAGAACACTTAGCTCAGCAAGATGCTAAGTCAAGCACATTCGTAAATACCTAATTTTTAATTAAAACATCACGCATGCAAGAAGTTTAAACTACCTCAGTGTCTCACTCATAAGCTCACATGCAAAATATTCAGCATTTTCATAAGCTCACATGCAAAATATTCAGCATTTTTCCCCCCAAAGATCTGTGAGCGGATCAACTCAATGCACGTGGGATGAAATAACAGGAATTAATTCCTGCCTCACGCACAGTGACAGCGAAGAAACAAACACTCGGACTCTGACTGTGACTTAGTAGAGTTCCTAGAACTTGCGAGAAGCTACACACTATTTACGCACACACAATCTCTCATCCAGTTGATTAAAGCTATACATTACCATAGTAGTCTGTATCCTGTCTTCTACAAACTGAAGAATTCGTGTTCCACCCGCTGGTAACGCAGCCTAGCACCAAAAGGAAGGTGAAATTAGTTTCCCACATCTGGCAAAAAGCCTCCATAAAAACACCTCGGTGCCTGGCCTGGCACATACAGCGCAACTTGATTGTATTTTCCAGCATCTGTCTGTCAACTACAGCCCACTTTGCAAACACAAGACGTTCAGTGGAGAGGGGTCATTAGTGGAGTTCTACGTTGGTGTCAGTTCAACGCATTCCTAAATAGTCCTAAACCAGGGTCAAACAACGAGGTGGTAACTTTTTTTGATGATTCTATGTTATTCAGAGCAACGAGGACGAGAATTGAATGTAAAGGACTTTATGAGACTGAGAAAATAAGTCATAAAACAGCAGATTAAATTCACCATAAAAAGAGAATTATGCACATGGGAAGAAGCTCCAGCCTCAAGTATACAGTCCTGGGACCTGTGCCGACTGTTGTTACTCAGGAAAAAAATCTGGCCGTTACAATAGTCTCACAAATGCCAGCTCAAAACTTACCAGAACGGGGGAAAAAGGCAAACCAAATATTAGGAACAAGTAGGAAGCAAACCAAGTACAAGGACAGATACGTCCTCCTGTAAGTCTTGAACCTTACAAGTACTCGACTCTTAAGTACTACACGCAGTTCTGGTCCCAGATTTTGCCCTCAGTTCCAGATCTGGATGACCTCTTAATTTAGCTTTGCCACCAAGGGGACAATGAAGTGCACGCCGAGAGTTGCCAAACTAGTCTCTCTCGTGAAATTCGTTCCAGTTCTACAGCGCAAATAAAACTCCTGCCTGACCAGTCAACTCAAAACAGATCGCTGCCTCAAGTTTGTCTTCTTGGGTTACTTTAACACAGCATATTGGCAATTTATCTTCCCAACATTAGTCAAACTAACTCTATCACTATTATTATCAGACTATTATTAGTGGGATTGTAGTGGAAAGTCACAAGAATTTGGGAAAAAAAAAAAAAGGTGAAAATTTGTTAGCAACAAATACAACACGTTCTGGTAAAATACAGCGAGTTCTTGGTATAAGTCTATTGTGGTCACGTAATTTATTTCCCCTTGACAGCGTCAGGGACACACACAGTTCTGCTACTATCCAGACCTGTATGATCTCAAATAATATCAAAAATAGTAGTTGCCCACTGACAGTCACATTGCTGCTACATGAGGAGAAGAAACAAATTCATGAGCAAAAGAATTAAAAAAACACATGCACACGCTGAGCCCTCACGCCTCAATACAGAAAAACAATGAAGGAAAGAAGAAATTCAGACCTCCAAGAAAAACCAAGAGATTCTTGCAAGGTTTCTCACAAACACCGGAGAAAACTTGCCATTCCCCCCCCCCCCCCCCCCCTCCGGGTAACCTCCTCCGCCACCCAGCACTGACAATCCTTCCGGAAAAGCAGAGAAAGCAAGCGGACAGGTTGCAACCGCACAGACGCTTGAGACACGTAAAGCAGTTATTGTTACATGGCAGCATGAGAGACAGGTATGAGGTCACAGTGAAGTCATCAGTTCTACAGGGCCCTCCCATCAGCCCAGGCCTGCAGCACCTCTCTTAGGAGGGCTACAGCCAGCACCGAAATTCAAGGACTTCACAGGTGCCTTACACACCCTCAGACAATTCCTGGAGACAAACCACACGTGGAACAGCCCTGAAAAGACCCTCGCTTCACCAGAAAAAGCAGCAGTGACATGCTGTGTATCAGCATAAATAGCATTTGCCTGCTTTTTGCGAGGATGTTGAAATTTCATTAAGAAAATGAGAATTAACAGTAATTAACAAAAAGATACAGCTCCATAAATAATGCTCACGCTCATCCAGGGTACCAAGCACAGAACCAGCAGCTCTGCTGAGAGTTTAACAACTTGGCATTGCAATCAAAGGCAAACAGCGAGATATACCCCCTCGAGGGAGGGGAGGAAAACGCTTATCAGCACCGAAAGCACGGCCTTAAAACGATGACTGCCCAAAACACCAGACTTCCTTCCAGCTCATAAGCACACGGGTCCACATGCCTACGTTCTGACCACAGACGATCTTCACAGAACATTTTTTAACTGCGTACGAGTAGGTTATATGTATTTTTCAGTTCTGAGAAGAACTATTTCCTACCGTGGCCTCGCCTTTCATTTCTAGGGAAAGCACCACGTGCCTCGTTGGACTATGAGTTTTGTATTTATGATTAAGAACAAATGCAAGAAGAGCTAGCTGCCAGAGAATTCCGCAAGTCTTCCATCTTTAGGCTAAAAACGTACTGTTGAAGCAAAAGGTACTTAAATCGTATCATTCTGCTAACAGCTTAGAATATGAAGCAAAGTGGGAATGGTTTGCAGTTAAAAAAAAAAAAAAAATAAAAAAAAACCCAAACCATGCACACGTAAAAAAATGGGACCAACCTTGAAGTTTTTGGAAGGATAAAACTCTTACCAGGAAAGGTTCTTTCATAGTAAAATCACTGCGTCTAAAGACGTTACCCAAACGTTATCAAATCAGGTAGAGCAGCTTTCAGCTTCTGGAAAAAGTAACAGGGAAATAGACACGTCCGAAAATAACAGCAGAGCATACTGTACCTCAAGGCTGGTGCTGTTGCCTTCCTCATCCATGTCTGGAGGTACAGCGGGAGCAACTATAAAAAAAAAGACAAGACCGAGCTAAGAGACGCCGCGCTCCCTGATCCAAAGTCTTGTTAACTCTGCAGTGCAAGGCGTAGCAGGACTGCCCTTCCAGTTTGGCAGGACAAGACAATTCAGGGGGAACAACATTTCTGGGGTTTTTTTTTTTGCTTCGTTGTCCCTTTTTCTCTGCGTTGAGCAACAAAAACCAGCAGGCCTTCAAGGAAAAGCGGAGCTACTCGCAACGACAGCCGCTGAAGCCCTCTGGGAAGCGGCACGACGGGACCTGGCGCAAACGCCCAAGCACGCGGCCGCCTCCCCGCTCGCTCTTGACGAAACCTCCCCGCAGACACGGGAACGTAAACGCTGGAAGCACCCGCGGGGGCGAGGGAGCCCCCCACCAGGTGCCCACATCCCCGTGGCACAAACAGAACGACCCCCGGGGTACATTTTCGTCAAGGAAAAGGCAAATGCCGGTTTTCCACGACGCGTCGCTCACCGACAGGTGTTGCCCGTGGGAAGAGCCCCACGGGAA